TTCATCACCCACTACAGTGCACATGCTAAAAAAGAGAGAGCTATAAAAAAACACTGGCACATATTAAAAAATGATGATATTTTGGAAAATATCATTCTCAACTTCTCTACAGTTATTTTCAAGAGAGCAACACATCTAAAACACAAAGTGTCCTCCAGTCTTTTTCCAATTCAATCTCAAAACTCTGATATGTTTACCCAATTGAAAGTTTTCTTTTAGTTGTGGCAAGTGTTCAATGTGTAAACATCATGAAAAAGAAAACTGAACAATTCCAAGGCACCTATACACAACAAAACTATAAGATAAAAAAAATCATCCAATGCTCCAACACATTTGTAATATATTTGTTTCAATGTGGATGCGGAGCACAATACATTGGACGTACTAAAAGAAAAATGCATGTCAGAATTTTTGAACACTGCAAAAACATAAAAAATAAAAACAAACAGACCAAAATGTTCCTAAACATTGCTATTTTTGTGTATAGTTACATTTTAACAACTTTATAAACACTGTGACGAAGTAGAATCAAGTTGGAGAGGGGCTAATAAATTACAGGAGTTTACTTGTAAACAGGCACATTGAGTACATAAATTGAAAACATAAGGATATTATGGCACTAGAAAAAGTGCAGAGGCGAGCTACAAACTTAATAAAATGAATGGAACATTTTAGCTATAAAGAAAGGTTAACACATTTAAACCTCTTTAGTTTAGAATAACGTTACCTCAGAGCAGTGGCATACTAAGGGGAGGGGTGAGGGGTGCGGTCCGCCCCGGGTGCCACTCAGTAGGGGGGTGCCACGCTCTATACCTCCTGCTGGTTCGCAATAACAATCCTCTCCCTCGCGGCTCCGGTGCTCAGTCAGTGAGTCAGAACACAGAGGGGGAATTCTCAGCCTGTGTTATGAGTCATCACTGAGCACCAGAGAGGTTGTGATGGAGTGTACCAGCGGGGGCGCAGAGCGTGTATTCTGCAAGGTTTCTCCCCTGGGGCCACTCTGCCTGCACCTGCTGCACTGCCTGACCCTGTGCTGGGATGGAGAGAGACAGCCCCTGAAATGGTAAAATAATAATATTATTGTAACTTTACCCCCACCTAATAATAATACCCTCACCCCCTCCCTCAGTCACGGTTCTCACCTGATAGACAGACGGCAAGACGTGGTCGCTCATGGAGTTCCCAACAGGGGACTTAAACCGGGGATCTTCTCAGTCCTGGTCCTGCTTTCTACCTCTGAGCCACAGCAGCTATTTACAGTGTAGACTGATTCCAGTCCTGTTCATCCTGACATGGCTACTACTCTGGGGGCTGCACCTTGACTTGGCTGTGTTTCACCTGACTCTGATCAGTCATCAGCAGGGTATATAAACCCAGCCTCGCCCTGTGCTCAGTGTCAAGTCTTTAATCCTGTTTGTTCTAGTGTTCCTGTTTCATCGCTTTGCATTATTGACCCCGGCTTTCTGACTCGTTTATTCTGACTTCTGGCATCCCTTGACTTCGGCTACTCCTCGTTGTTCCTGTCCTCTGGCATCCTTTGACCTCGGCTATCCCTCGACCATCCTGCTGGTTCAGTCCTTGCCTGTCCTGCGTATTGGTACTGCATCCTGCACAGCCCCCGTGCACAGACCCACAGGCCAGGTGAATTCTTACCTGACCACCTCGGCCTGTGGCTATCTGCAAGGGTGAGCATCATATCTGCGCTACAGACTCCCAACTCAGGTAAGACCCTGACACCCCCTCCCTCTGTAACTCTGTCACCTGTAACTCCCTCCCTCTGTCACCAGTCACCCCCTCCCTCTGTAACTCTGTCACCCATCACCCCCTCCCTCTGTCACCAGTCACCCCTCCCTCAGTCACCCTGTCACCCCCTCCCTCAGTCACCCAGTCACCCCCTCCCTCAGTCACCCAGTCACTCCCCCAGTCACTCTGTTACCTGTCACCCCCTCCTTCAGTAACCCTGTTACCCCCTCCCTCAGTCACCCCCTCAGTCACTCTGTCACCAGTCACCTCTCCCTCAGTCACCAGTCACCCCCTCCCTCAGTCACTCTGTCACCCCCTCCTTCAGTAACCAGTCACCCATCTCAGTCACTCTGTCACCAGTCACCTCCTCCCTCAGTCACCAGTCACCCCCTCCCTCAGTCACCCTGTCACCCCACCTCAGTCACTTGTCACCAGTCACCCCCCCTCAGTCACTCTGTCACCAGTCACCCTGTCACTCTCCTCAGTCACCTTGTCACCCTCCCAGTCACCAGTCAACCCCTCAGTCACCAGTAAGCCCCTCCCTACTTGTCATCCTCCTCTGTCACCAGTCACCCTCCCTCTTTCACCAGTCACCACCTCTCAGGCACTTGTCACTCTCCTCTGTCACTAGTCACCCTCCTCTGTCACCAGTCACCCTCCCCTTCTGTCACAGTCACCTTCTCCTCAGTCACCCTGTCACCCCCTCCCTCAGTCATTCTGTCACCAGTCACCCCCTCCCTCACTCACCCCGTCACTCTGTCACCAGTCACTCCCTCCCTCAGTCACTCTGTCACCCCTTCCCTCTGCCTTCTGTCACCCCCTCACTCTGCCACCTTTCATCCCCTCACTCACTCTGCCACCCCTTCACTCTGCCATCTGTCACTCCCTCCTTCCCTCACTCTGCCAACTGTCTCTCCCTCCTTCCCTCACTTTTCCACCTGTCACTCCCTCCATCCCTGCCTCCCATGCTCTGTCACCCCCTCCCTCCCACACTCTGCCACCTGCCCCCCCCTCACTCTGCCATCCCTATCACACAGCACACTATGTGCCCTACAATGCCCTACACACACTACATCCCTATCCCTCACTATGTATCTTACCCATACTACATCCCTATCACCCCATACTATGTGCCCTACACCAGGTCTGTCTCCTAAATTACTATCAATAAAGACCTTATTTAAATAAATTTTTGATTAAAATATTTTTTGTATCAGGACAAGTAGATTGGGCAAACACTTTAGTTCCTGGAGAAGTAGTTGTTTTTTTAAATTTCAACACCTCTGCCCTCCCTGCCATATACACCCCCACCTTGTCATAATACCATCCCTGCCATATACACCTCTGCCTTGTCATAATACCCTCCCTGCTATAAACCCACTACCTGGTCATAATTCCCACCCTGGCATGTACCCCTTTAACATGTCATATAATACCCACACTGCCATAATACCCTCCCTGCCATATACACCCACCTTATCATAATACACACCCTGCCATACACCCCCACCTTGACGTAATACCCTCTCTTCCATATAACACTGTTGTGCCTAATCATTAAATTCATGAAGCACCAATATCCAAAAAGTAATAATCAATACCTAATAAGGTTTATAGCGATATTGGCAGGCACACAACCCAGTTCGTATAGAGTACATTGAGTTATAGGAAAGAGAAATCACACAAAGACCAAGTTGAATATAAGAATTCACACTACACTTTATTATCCACAAAGGTATCTAAGCAAAGTAAGTTTTACTCTCATTTAAGTAGTTGCATGCATTTACTTCAAACAGCTTAGTATCTAGATATATCAGCTTAAGTATACATCACCATTAGAGAAGCTTGGTTGTCTCCTCACTACACATGACTGGGGGGAACTCAAGCAGTCACTCGGAGAGACCCTCTCTTCTGGGAACAGCAGAAACCAGTAACACGCATCCGCATTACAGGTGGGTAGTTCTCCAAGGGAGCGCAAGATTCCCTTAGTCTTATATACCTGTCTTCAAGGACAGTCAGTAGTTCCTTATCTGTGCAGCCCAGCAAAAGACCTTGATACAAGCAGCTGGATGGACCTGGCAGTTGGCCAGACTGTTCAGGTCACCAGAACTTATGCCAAGTCTTGTGTGGTTAATTATCTCTTATCTACAAGCTTTCTTTGTACTGTTCTAGAGATGGCAACATAAGTTTTTGATGGCAACATAAGTTTCTCAAACTGCTGAAGTGCTGTGCCAGCTTATAGTGCTGTGGCAGCTTAATAAATAGCTGTAGTGCTGTGTCAGCTCTTAATAGATGTGGCATAAAGCCTTCAAGCCTGCATCTAGTAATTCTGTCCCTCAAGCCTGCATCTAGTAATATGTGCTATGTGTGCTTATATGCTTACCGGTGCCATCTTAACTATCTATAAATGTTTGAGTTGCTCAATAGTGATCAATCATACTTACTTAATATGGAATATTATCACATTCCATCCCTTGATCACTCAGTGAGAAAACCTCACACATTTACACGTACCAGGTTATCAGTAGGGGGAAAACCTATTTACCCACTAATTCCCATTATGCTCCATTCACACCTGGAACCGATTCAAGCCTAATTAAACTCTTCTAGCGCTACACTATGATTTATTTTTTAAGCTTTGAATGCAGAAAACTGTAATTTTGTAGCACAGATAAATACAAAGTATAATAAAAACACACCATGCAATACCTTTTGTTATTTTCAACCCAAGCCCTCCTGTCCAGGAGAATTTTGTAGCATTAGCTAAACAGTGTATAATAGTGTAGGTTCACTTTGTGCTCTGCTGGTTTGCATAACTTACCCAATACTGCGTAAGTTCTTCTGAAGAAATATTAGAGCTTACAGGTGTATATAGTATGCGGCAGCCAAAGGGCGTTATAGATTCTAACATTAACAAATCAAATGATTCATTTGGTAACTTAATAGAGGTCATTGACTCAGTTTCATTGTGGCTAAAATAGCCCTCTCCATAGAGGTGCGCTCTCATGTTTGGACAGTTAACAGTCAGGCAAGTTACTCTTATTTCGATCTCTTTCCATCTCATCTCTGCGGAATCACTCAGGTCCCAACCTCCAATCTCGTTGTTGGTATCTGAGCCGACCAAAGGGTGTAGAATAAGCACAGTAACAGCTGAACCAATGAGCTTTGCCTGTAAAGATACAACTCATTTTACTCTCTCAAATAACATTTGCCCGAAGGCACGCATTCCCATTTATCATGACCTGACTTGGAAAGTATCACGGTATTGTCATTGCCTGTTGCAATAATGTCTGCTGGTTCTGGGGGGCCTTTCTCTGCCCTCACCCAGACTTTGGCCCCTGGATTTAGGTTAGTAGAGCCAAATCCCTTATCTCCTCTTACTGTTTGTAAGATGGGGGCTGTTCCTTTGTGTACCTGTCCCTGGTAAATGGAGATGATAACCAATTGGGCTATTCTGACCCCTTCTTGCACTAGCAAGTCTTGTGGTCCCTGATTTAACAAAAGGACCTTTATTTCTCCTTGGTAATCAGCGTCTATGACCCCTCCCATTACATGTATCCCTTTAAGGGCGAGGCTAGATCTGGGTGTAATTAGTCCAAAGTGTCCCGGGGGTATTTGTATTCCTATACCTGTGGGGAACATCTGAACTTGCCCTCTTTTAAGTCTTTCCTCCTTTCTGGCATGCAAGTCTATTCCTGCAGCCTCTGGGGTAGCCCTGTATAGTGCCAAGGCTCCCTCCTCTGTTTCCCAATATGTGATTGTGTTAGTTACATATGGTTTACCCTGTATATTGAGTGCGATCATTCTAGTGAGGGGAGTGTCATGATCTGAGAGTGGCCTATTGTTTAAGATGTTCACAGCTGTAGGCAAGTTATCTCTCCATTTGACCATTGTCCCTTCACCAAGTTTTCTCAATTGTTGTTTCAACAACCCATTCATCCTTTCAATCAGACCAGCTGCTTGAGGATAATAAGGTATGTGAAATATCCATTCAACATTGTTTTCATTACAAAAATCTTGTACCAATTTTCCTTTAAAGTGACTTCCATTGTCACTCTGAATCTGTAATGGAAAACCCTAGTACTGTATCATGGTTTCCAACATTTTAATAGTATTTATTTGGGTACCCCTCTTACAAGGGTGAACCAATAAATACCCTGAATATGTATCCACAGCCGTGCATATATATTGACAATTTTTACTCATAGGAAGCGGACCTATGTAATCTACCTGCCATATTTGCCCTGGTGCTTTTCCTCTTTTTATTTGACCTCGTACCATCCCTGGTAGCTGTCTATTCTGCTCATGCTGACACACTGGACATTGCAGAATTACTGTTTTAATTAAATCAAGTGGCACTAAAATGCCTCGCTGTTGTGGCCACCTGTGAGTGGCTTTCTCTCCTAAGTGTCCACATTTCTGATGGGCCCAAGTAGCCAATCCCAAAAGTGAGTTAGAATTTTCAACAGACGTCTCTGAGATCTTGGCTTTCTCGTCTGCAATAGAGTTAAACAGACGATCCAATGAGTCAGTATTGCAGTGAGCATCAACATGAAAGACTGTTACCTCATTTTGATGTACCATCTTCCATATCTGCCCACACATCTTTTCCCCAGACTTCCTTTGTATGAATCATGAACTGATGTGACTGCCATGTGGCCAGTCCATTGGCAACAGACCAGGAATCTGTATACAGTTGCAAGAAAACGTATGTGAATGATATGGATTTCTGCACAAATTGGTCATAAAATGTGATCTGATCATCAGCTAAGTCACAGCATTAGACAATCACAGTCTGCTTAAACTAATAACACAAAAATCATAGAGAATAAACTTTTTGTTTATTCTCTATGATATTCACCATTTAGGGGGTACCCCCCCCCCCATTTTTTTTATTTTTTTTTGTGCCCTCTACCTTGTGATATCTAAATTTCGGCCCTAGGTTAATCCTTTTTGTTTTCCTCGTATAATAATAACACAAAAAGAATGAAATGTCGCCATGTTTTTATTGAACACACCATGTAAACATTCACAGTGCAGGTGGAAAAAGTATGTGAACCCTTAGATTTAATAACTGGTTGAACCTCCTTTGGCAGAAATAACTTCAATCAAACGTTTCCTGTAGTTGCAGATCAGACGTGCACAACGGTCAGGAGTAATTCTTGACCAATTCCTCTTTACAGAACTGTTTCAGTTCAGCAACATTCTTGGGATGTCTGGTGTGAATCGCTTTCTTGAGGTCATGCCACAGCATCTCAATCGGGTTGAGGTCAGGAATCTGACTGGGCCACTTCAGAAGGTGTATTTTCTTCTGTTTAAGCCATTCTGTTGTTGATTTACTTCTATGCTTTGGGTCATTGTCCTGTTGCAACACCCATTTTCTGTTGAGCTTCAGCTGGACAGATGGCCTTAAGTTCTCCTGCAAAATGTCTTGATAAACTTGGGAATTTATTTTTCCTTCGATGATTGCAATCCGTCCTGGCCCTGATGCAGCAAAGCAGCCCCAAACCATGATGCCCCCAACACCATACTTCACATTTGGGATGAGGTTTTGATGTTGGTGTGCTGTGCCTTTTTTTCTCCACACATAGTGTTGTGTGTTTCTTTCAAACAACTCAACTTTGGTTTCATCTGTTCACAGAATCTTTTGCCAATACTGCTATGGAACATCCAGGTGCTCTTGTGCAAACTGTAAACGTGCAGGAATGTTTTGTTTGGACAGCAGTGGTTTCCTCTGTGGTATCCTCCCATGAAATCCATTCTTGTTTAGTGTTTTATGTATTGTAGATTCGCTAACAGGGATGTTAGCATTTGCCAGTGACTTTTGTTAGTCCTTAGCTGACACTCTAGGATTCTTCTTCACCTCATTGAGCAGTCTGCACTGGGCTCTTGCAGTCATCTCTACAGGACGGCCACTCCTAGGGAGAGTAGCAGTAGTGCTGAACTTTCTCCATTTATAGACAATTTGTCTTACCGTGGACTGATGAACAACAAGGCTTTTGGAGATACTTTTATAACCCTTTCCAGCTTTATGCAAGTCAACAATTCTTAATCGTAGGTCTTCTGAGAGCTCTTTTGTGCGAGGCATCATTCACATCAGGCAATGCTTCTTGTGAAAAGCAAACCCAGAACTGGTGTGTTTTTTATAGGGCAGGGCAGCTGTAACCAACACCTCCAATCTCATCTCATTGATTGGACTCCAGTTGGTTGACATCTCACTCCAATTAGCTCTTGGAGATGTCATTAGTCTAGGGGGTTCACATACTTTTTGCACCTGCACTGTGAATGTTTACATGGTGTGTTCAATAAAAACATGGCAACATTTCATTCTTTGTGTGTTATTAGTTTAAGCAGACTGTGATTGTCTATTGTTGTGACTTAGATGAAGATCAGATCACATTTTATGACAAATTTGTGCAGAAATCCATATCATTCCAAAGGGTTCACATAATTTTTCTTGCAACTTTATATATGACAACTTCCAGGCATCTCTTGTTTCAAAGCCTGAAACACTGCATATAACTCTGCATACTGGCTACTTTTTCCCGTTTCTGTTGTAGTCAGTATTTTCTTGGTTTCTGGATTATAAGACACTGCTTTCCATTGTCTTTCATTACCAATGTATTTTGCTGAACCATCAGTAAAATAAGCATGCTTTGCTTAATCTTGTGTTAGTTGCGCAAAAGACTTTCCCCACTTTACTGGAGATTCCCCTGGCTTGTCTGCTTCTGGCAGATAACCAGGTTCTTGTATCGGCGTATCTGCAATTTTCTCATGTAGTACAGCCGTACCACTATTTCCTGTATGTACCACTTCCATTTTATGATACTGGACTCTTGTGCATAACCTATCCTATGTGTCTTAGGGGAACTAAGTACCCATTGCATGATAGGTATCTCTGGGCGTAAGAACACTGTATGTCCTACTGTCATCTGTTCAGTATCCACCAAGGCCCAATAACAGGCCAAGAGCTGTCTCTCAAAGGGTGTGTACCTCTCTCCTGCCTCAGGTAACTTCCTTGTCCAGAAACCAAGGGGAACTTTAGTCCTTGTTTCTGCCAAAGTCTCCAATTAGCCCATTGCTGATTCACTGATACATTTAAGTCTATGTCTCCATCTCGTATGGGCCATAGATCAAGGGCTTGTTGGATAGCCTGTTTAGCTCCCTGAAAATCATTCAAAATCATGTTTTTTCCTGGTTACTTTGTCCAAAGGGGAGAGTAACTGACTCAGGTGTGGGATGTGTTGTCTCCAGAAACCAAAGAGACCTATAAGGCTTTCAGCTTGTTTCTTGCTTTTAGGAGTTTGAAACTCTAACACCTTTTGCTTAGCTTTTGGAAGGATCTCCCTGTGTCCTTTGTTCCACTGTATTCCTAAGAATTTTACTGTTTGAGCGGGTCCCTGTATTTTACTGGGATTTATCTCCCACCCTTTGCTCTTCATGTGCTCAAAGATCTCTTCAAGAATTATTTATTTATAAAATATTTTGCCAGGAAAGATACATTGAGATTTCTCTCGTTTTCAAGTATGTCCTGGGAATCTGCTGTTCTTCACTCTTTCCCTGAATCATAATGTCATCTATATAATGGGATATTTTCACCTCTGACGGTATTTTTACCCCATCAAGATGTTCTGCCACCAGCCGATGACAGATGGTGGGACTATGCAAGTATCCCTGTGGCAACCTGGTGAATGTGTATTGCCTCCCTAACCATGTGAAAGCAAACTGCTCTTGATTTTCTTCAGCTATTGGAATAGTGAAGAAGGCATTAGCCAAATCTATAACTGCATACCAGATCCCTGGATGCTTCTGTATATTTTCTATAAGAGTGACAGTGTCTGGGACAGCAGCAGTCAGTGGAGGTGTGTGTTGGTTCAATTCTCTGCAGTCTACAGTCATTCTCCATGTATGGTCTGTTTTATGTATTGGCCACACGGGATTGTTCCAAGCAGTAGTGACCCCTCGCAGGACCCCAGCTTTTAGTAAGTCATCTATGGTTTCTCCAATTTCTTTGTGGCCTCCTGGGATCCTGTACTGCTTCATATGTACTACTTTAGTAGCGGGTGGTAGTTGCACTGGGGGCATTAACAATTTTCCTACCAACACTGGTCTGGCTGATATATAGGGTTTAGTTCCAAAACTGTAACAGCCATCCCCCAAATGTAAGGTCAATCCAATTATGTATTTGGGTATGGGGACAATTAAAACTGAATATTTCCTTTTTGGCAACTGTCCAATTTTCAGTTCTACCCAAGTCTGGACTGCTTCTGTCCTCTTATCTCCCAGACCTGTGATTACATAGGGTAATCCAGCAAATTTCTTAGGGTTGCCATGAATTAAAGTTGCTTCGGCTCCAGTGTCCACAAGGGCAGTAACCCTTTCAACATTTTTATTTTTCCAGTAAATTTCAACTTTTACATGGGGTCTATGGTCTTTTACTGAAAAGTCAATCACTAGAGGCTGCCTCACTAGTTAATTCCTATCGTCTAGGTCTGTCAAATCCAGGTCTCCCAGGTCGGGCAATTCCCTGTGTGCATAGTCGTCAAGTTTTTTAAGTACTACCCAACCTCTTTTCTGCCACTTTTTCAGACCAGCAAGAATGTTAGTAGGCATGTCAATTTCACTTTTTTCACATTCACAATCACATTTACCAGCTGAACGTGCCCATTCACTGGCAATGGATGCATATTGCTCATCTTCCCATCCGGGAATGTTTTTAAACATTGTGCAAAGTTCTTATGTTTTTTTCTGAATAAACTTGCACTCCTCGGGGATGTGTGTTCTATGTGTTTTATTTAATTTCACTTAAATATGTACTAATACAGACACCTAGTGTCTGGCTTATTGTTTTATTCTTCACTCAATAAACTTGCACTCCATGGGGATGTGTG